AACCAGTTTATGTCGGTTTTTTTTTATATTAACTGTTAAATCAAAACACAAAAAAAAAATCTTAATTTAGAAAAAAATAAGAATGTGATCAATGTGTAATCAAATTAAGGGAATTTGTGAACATAACAATCATCGTCATCATCATCATCATCATCATCATTACACTACGTTAAAAAACTGGTCACATGTACAAATTGAAAAATTTTGTTGTTGGGTGAGGAAATTTATCAATTTTGTTATGAATGAACGCGAGTAAAAAATATTCATTTTAAATAAAAACAAAAATGATATCTCTCTCAAAATCAAATTTATTTATTACGATTTTATCATTATATTTTTTAACCACTACATTAAATTCTGTTGCTATTCCGGATGGTAAGGAAATCAAGTTTCGTTTTGTTAAAACCAATTGATTGAAAATAATTAATTATAATTGATCGATTTATTTTTTATGGAACGTTTTGAAGATTTTTGTGATGGTAAGAAGAACATTTTCTTTTGCTTATTATATTACATTATAATTTTAGTATTAATTTCCTTTGTTTGGTTTTCCTTTTCTTTTTCCTCTCTTTAACTTAGGATTCGAATTTACAAGCCCTTCCGCCGATGTAAAAATAAGCAACAATACATCAGTAGCAGTATCTTGGGGAAAGGATCATCCGAAATAGCTGAAATTTATGATGTCGAATTATTTACCGATAAAGGACTCGGGGCAATTTTATGGCAAGGTAGAGTGTCACTTCAAACTGGCACTGCTACGGAAAATGTCAACATTTGGGCACCTCCGAACTTACCCTTACCTGCTAAAGTTATGTTAAGAAGTTGGGGTGCAACTGCTAAAGGCCCCAATTGTTTCACACTAAGGTAAGAAAAAATATGTTTTTAGGAAACTTTTAAAAGAAGATATATTAATTTTGCATTTTTTTGTTTTTTTGTTTATAGTCCAACCTTCATTTTGGTTTAGAGATTGAATTTATTTAAGCAATAACTCGGTTAATATTTTAAATAAAGATTTATGCGCACAAACATTTAATTTAAACAGGAGCCAACTTCTTTTACAAATATTCGTTGTGATAGACGTTACACATACCATAAAAATTTCAAAAATTTTTTTTTTTGGTAAAAAAGCAATTTTTTTTTCCAAATAATAATAATGTCAAATTTATTTTTAACCAAAAATAATTTTATTTATCAATCGTTGTTGGTTAAAAACCAAAATAAATTTATAAAAACAACAAACTCTCTACGAAAATTCCGTTCATCATCTTTAAAAACTAGCGCTTATAACAATAATAATAATAATAATAATAATAATAAAATAAATCCCTCTCCTTCGACAATAATTATCAATTATAACACTGCTCGATTAAGTTTGATTTCATTGCACAAACCTTTATCTAATAATTACACTAATATCGGTAGTAATACTACTAACAGTGATAGTAGCAGTATTGTTTCATCAATTGAACAAGATTTTTATTCTACAAATAATCCAATAGGAATAAAAGATAAATCATTAAAACATTTATCAAGAGCATTTCTTGTATACAAGTTATGTTCTATTCAATGGCTAGTAAATAGTTCGTCAAGTATTATTCGATTTGCGGAAAATTTTCACCTTGGAGGTCCAATGTACTGGGTGATGAGAAAAACATTCTATGAACAATTTTGTGGGTATGTATATGTATATGTATATATGTATATGTATATATATATATATATATATACACACATACACATACACATCTATTATACATAAATATTTATATAAATAATTGACTAATTGAATTGAATTAGTGGAGGATCTCGAGGAAATGTGGAATATTTGATTAAAGGCTTATTTTATTACTGTTGCCAACACGGAAAATAATAATAATAAAAACTGATCCTTAAAGTTAGCAGTGTATGAATAAGCGAACAAACGCGCCACTTGGTGTTGTGATGTGCGGAGGAATTCATGCTCGTTCAATCTGACAATACTTAAAACGCTCGAATCCTTACGCGTAGCATAAACTTCTATCGCGTCACCTATAAAAAATTTTTTACTGAACAGTGTTAGAAAAAATGTAATTCACAGATTTAGTAGGTAACAGTATATATATATATATATATATATATATATATAACTGTTACCTAATTAATGTAGACAATACAAAAATTGACCATGAAAATTATCAAAAACAGATCAAAGTGCAAAAGAAAGAAATCCAAGAGTTGAAACTAAACTTCAAGGTAAGACGCAACATGATCAATACAAAACGGAATATGATGAGAACCAAAAACAGGGAAAGAAGGGATTAAAGGAAAGAAACGAGGACATAAACCAATCATACAACAATAACCAACAAGGATCAGCAATATCAAAAGTTAAAGGATAAAAAAAGCAAACGAGAAGAGCAAAGCAAATAATCAGCAACTAGAAAATGATATTGTTCAATTAAAACAGCAATTAAAATATTTAAACAAAATAACCTTGAACAGCAAAAACATATTCAGAACTTTAGAATAAAATTAAAGGGTTAGAGAAACAAAAACCTGAATTAATTAAACAGGAAAAATTTAATTATTCAAGAGTTATTCAAGAGTTAACCGAGTAAAAAGTCAAAATGGTAGTCCAAACTCAAAATACTGCAACAAAATCAGGTTCAAATTTAGTCATATAGGACTCTATTGAAAACGTAATCCTTGACCATAAAAAAAAAACAAGGTAAATAATTCCATCTTGTGTTTGAACATCACCAATTCACCTACTCTCGGGGAAAAAATCAAACTAATCAAATCGCAAGTCCTTAATAATTGCTATTTAATTTTTGTTAGATAACATTTAAAAAAATGCTTCACTATAAAAACTTACAAAACCACATAACCATGCACTCATCTTTTCCGATAAGTCATAAGCGGCACCATGGGCTTCTAATACTCAGGCTTCCATTTCCCCGATTCACAGAGAAAAATAATTGAAATCAGGGTTAAGGATCCTGCCGGCTTTTACCGGCAAAATTGGCGATCTTTTTCCTTTAATATTAATATTAATATTAAGTAATTTTACCGGGAAAATTGAAGACCAGTCTTTAACCCTGATTTGAAATTGAAAAAAAAACAATTTTTTGTTTTGTTTTAAAAAAGAGCATGGTCAACAGATTGTGAACCAAGTCTGTTTGTAACAAATTGATTGTTCTTCTGTATCAGAAAAGTCCTTCCGAAGGAAATGATGAAGAAATATTAGATGAGGAAGACAATGATAGTATAATGGATGAGGATGAGGAACAGGTCGTCGTTGTGATGGTGGATTCAGATATGAAATATTAATAATGAATTATTATTATGTTTTACTATCATTATTAATTATTTTGTATAACATTGCCAAATTAATCTTTATTTGTTTTTAATGATAAATTGCTTTAATAAAAAACATTTATTTTATTATTATTTTTGTGTAGTGGTTTGATCTTCTTCTTCCTCTTCAGTATTTAAACCAAGTAAATCTGCTTTCTTTTTGGCTTGGCGTATAACACGACGTTCTCTAGCAGCTTTGGCTTTTTGACGATGAGCTTCAGCTTGATCACTAAATGAATAATTATTGAAGGAGATAAAATATTAACTTCTACCAACATTAATAACAATAAACAATCATTGATGATATCAGTAATGATAATGATAACATACGCTAATGTTTTGGTACGAGCTTTCTCAGCTTTAGCCTTATGAATATATTCCATCAATACACGTTTATTTTTGAATACATTACCCTTTGATTTCATGTACAATTGATGGTATCTAACAATTAATCAATTAATATAAATAATTGGTAAAAAGTATGTAATTGATAAATTTCACATAATAATAAAATAGTTATAAAGATCATATTCACTTACAAATGTTTATCAATTTTCTTAGCTTCCCTATATTTTCTTAACAATCTTCTCAACACTCTTTGCCTTCTCATCCATAATACTTCGGTTGGCATACGAGCATTTGATGTACCTTTTCTTTTACCAGGTCCGGTATGACGACCTTTACGTTTAGCTTCTAATTTTTCTCTAACTCTGAATCGAGAATGAATTATTTGTGGTTTTCTGATAATAAAACCATCTTTTACAAGTTTACGAATATTTTGACCTATGATTGTCAATAATTAATTGGATTGGTTGATTGATTGATGAATAATTAATTAATCAATTGATTGATTGATTGATTAATCATCTTTAAAAAGAATTTTATCAATAGAGATTAAAAATTCTTACGAGAATTAGCATTAGAAATCTCTCCAACTTCATTGGGATCCAACCATACTTTTCTTTTGCCACACCCAAGTACACTAGCCGCCAACTTTTTTTGACTTCTTAAATTCACCCTTAATTTGTATATGAGAATAAAGCAATTTTAAAAATAAAATCATTTTTGAGTTGGTTTTTTAAAAAAAAGTTAATCTTACATTGTTAGAAAACAATATTAAATAAATTCTTTGAAAAAAAATTTTTTTTTTTTTTTGATTTTAAATCGTTACACGCAAATTTAATCAATTTTCTCTAAAAGATGAATTAAATAATTTATTTTTTTAAAAAATGAATAATGAAACTACAATTGAATTTGCAAAAAAAGCTCGAGAAGCAGCAACTAAACTTCAATATGTCTCAATTGAAGAAAAAAGTATTGCGCTAAATAAAATTAAAGAAAAAATATTTGAACATAAACAAGAAATTTTCGAATCTAATGAACATGACAAACTAGTAATTTATTATTTGTTTTGCGGTTGGAAAATAGAACTTGAGATAGTTACTCTTGACTGATTAACTAAAGGTTAAAAATTAATTATTAATTATATATGACTTTTAGAATGCAGCAGAACTTGTAAAGACTGGTGCACTTCCACAGTCATTAGTTAAACGTTTAGATATCACAAGTGGAGATAAGTTTATTACTATGTTACAAGGAGTATCTGATATTGATAAATTGCCTGATCCAACCGGACAAATCACATATTCCAGTAAACTTGACGAAGGATTAGAATTGTATCGAGTAACTTGTCCTGTTGGAGTTTTATTGGTGATATTTGAAGCAAGACCCGAAGTTATTGTTAATATTTCAGCATTATCAATAAAATCAGGTACAAATAAAATTTTGGTTAATTAAATATTTATATCGTTTTTGTTAAATATTAAAAACCAAAAATTTTTTTAAAGGCAATGCTGTGATATTAAAAGGAGGAAAAGAATCAATTGCTACATTAAATGCGCTGTATTCATCAATTAAATTAGCTTTATCAGAAACAGCAATTCCACAAAGTGTCATTCAACTTGTTGAAACGCGAGAAGAAATTAAAGCATTATTAGATTTAGATAGATATATCGATTTGGTGATTCCACGTGGAAGTAACAGTTTAGTGAGATATATACAAGAGAATACAAGGTATTTATAAAAACATTGATGAATAAATGTTCATAAAATTTATTTGTTTTCAATATTATAATAAAATATATAATTTAATAGGATTCCTGTTTTAGGACATGCTGATGGATTATGCACTGTGTATGTTGATAAAGATTCAGACCTTAAGAAAGCAATACGTGTTGTCATTGATTCCAAAGTATTATATAAAATCATATTATTATTTTTTCAAATAATGTTAATGATTAATTCAACTGTTATGCATTTATTAACAAATTTGTTATTAATTCTCCAAAAATATCATAGATAAATTATCCTGCAGCTTGTAATGCAGCCGAAACTCTTTTGATACACCGTGGAATTCTTTCTACACATCTTCAACCTATAATAAATGCGTTATTGGAAGCTAATGTTAAATTACATCTTGATCATGAACTATTACCATATGTCTCACACATCAACAACAACTCATTGATAGAAGTGAGTGTACCAGAGGATTTTGACACTGAATTTTTGAATCTTGAAATTGCCGTTAAAGTTGTAAATGGATTGGAAGAAGCAATCCAACACATCAATATACATGGTAGCAAACATACTGATTCAATAGTCACAGAAAATGAGACGGCAGCAAAAAAATTCATGCAAGGTGTTGATTCGGCTGGTGTTTATTGGAATGCCAGTACAAGGTTTGCCGATGGATTTAGATACGGGTTTGGCGCAGAAGTTGGAGTAACGTATCAATTATTATTTTTTTTGTTGGAATGAAAAATTTTTTTTTCCATTATTGCCATCATAACAATTTTATTTTCTTTATTATTTATACAAAATGTTCAGGTAAGTACAAACAAGACGCATGCACGTGGACCAGTTGGACTTGAAGGTTTGGTAATATACAAGTATAAATTGTGTGGTAATGGACATATTGTAGGAGAATTTGGTGAAGGAAAAAAAGAATATTTACATGAACCAATAGATACAAAGAAATACAATATGGGCTCTATGCTAACCAAAAGGTAGTTATGGTTCAAGAACCCCAAAATGAGTTATTGATACGATTATATTCTTCGAAATAAGGATTATAATTTTTGTCCACATTCAATTAAATTAAAAAAAAAAAATATATTATTGAACTTCGACTGCGTGATCCAAAAAAGGAAATAATTATCATTGTCAGGTGCACGAAATATTTATTTAAGGAATGGGTGCCATTTTTGATGACATATGATTGGTCAAATTTTGTTCACATGACTCACGTATAAGTTAGACCATGGGAAGTTCATTTATTTTTTACAAAATTTAAACTTCTTTTGGATGTCATTACTATTACATTTGATTTGTGCTTTTGCTTTGTAGTAAAGTCAGTCAATTAATTATAGTCTTTTTTTACCAATTATGGGTTTCAACCAAAACCGGATCCGATTAACCTGTAAATAATATGTATGGCATTATATTATATTTTAAAAAAATCTGAACAATTTCAAAGAAATTATATTTTTGTACGTTACACTGGCCCTATCCTTAATTAATACACAAAATAAATAAAATGAAATCGAGATATTATTATTAATATAAGAATCAACGGTTTGTATAACGTGGTACACCTTGCGGTATAAAATTCAATTAATTTCCTGGATATGGTTTCTAAATTTGTAGAAATCTGCATTGGTCACACACCACTGTTGATAAGTCGGCTGATTTCTCGAAAATCCGGAATTTAAAGATCCTTCCTTCGTAACCCAAAAAAAGCCAAGATCTCTTGGCCTCTTGGTGGAAAAAATCGATGGCGTTTTGTACTACTGGTCATTATTATATATAAAGAGTGGTAAAAAAACTACAAAAAAAATTTCTAGAACAATTTAATAATTTTTAATAATTTTATTTTTATTTTTAAAAATGTCAAAAAATACAAATATTAAAAAAGACAAATTATCAGCAGAATCTTCTTCCAATAATCATAACAATAATGATAAGAGTGGCGAATATTTAACGCAAAGAGATTTTGATGGTTACGATAAAATGATTAAAGAATTAGATGAAATTTTTAATGTTGCAAAGTCAAAAGATGTTCGTATATTGATAGACGCTGAACAAAGTTATTTCCAAGCAGCAATTGATTCCATAGCAATGAAATTTTCCAAGATATTCAATTATTATGGCAACTATAATAAAAATAGCGACGGTGAAAAATATTCAGGACCAATTGTTTTCAATACTTATCAAATGTACACAAAAGATTCAAAGAAACGGCTAACACGTGATTACGGATTATCAATTAGAGAGAAATTCACATTTGCATTGAAACTTGTACGTGGTGCGTACATGGTTAGTGAACGCGAACTAGCCAAAAAACTCGGGAATCCTGATCCAATTCACAATACATTACAAGATACTCATAATTCATATAATACAGGAGTTGAATTTTTATTAAAAGAGATTTCCAAATTTCAAATTAATAATAGTGATGGTGATAGTGGTGATGGTAATGGTTTATTGAATAAGACAAATAGTCCAATTGTATTTATGGTTGCTTCGCATAATAAAGAATCAATTGTGAATTCATTTAAACAAATGGAATTACTAAATATTTCACCAAAATCTGGAATAGTACTTTTTGGTCAAATATTAGGTAAATGATTTATATATATATATATATACTTTTTTTTGAGCATAATAGTAATGATTTTTATATATTTGACAGGAATGCGCGATCAAATCTCATATACATTGGGAAAACATGGGTATGGAATTTATAAATTTGTTCTATACGGAAAGGTAAATAGCGTATTATATTATCGTTTACATATGTTAGTAATTAAATGTTTATTTATTAATTAATTATTAATAATATTCATTCAGATTGACGAAGCAATTCCTTATTTAATAAGGAGAGCTCAAGAAAATTCCTCGGCTTTAGAATCTGTAAAACCTGAACAAGAATATCTAAAAAAAGAGATTTTCAACAGAATATTTTCATCGTAATCATTATATAAAAATTATTTATTAATTAAAATTTTTTTCTTGATGGATTAACACATTTACAATTAATTACATTTACATTATATGATTGATATATATATTTAATGCGTGAAAGTAAGAATTTGTTGTAAAACATGTATTTCTATCCTATGTATACATTTAAATAATATAATATATAATAATAATAAATTCTAAAAATATTTACAATAAATATAATTATTATGATTAACAAGAATCGTCATAACCTGGTGGCAGTATTGAATCAGTCAGAGGTGCTGGTATTTCATTTGCAATACTTTGATAAGGAGGTAATCTGTTTAATATTTCAATATCAAATAAATTGTCGATTGTATTATGATGAATTTCTGGTGAACCTTCAGATGATGAATTTGAATTTGAGCTTGCAACGAATGAATGCGAAGAAAATGATGTTGATAAATTATTATTGTCGTCATTGGAAGCTGTTGATAACGAACTCATTAATGATAAATCATTGTTATTATCACTGTTATTATCACTGTTATTATGATCATCATTTATTATTGTTATATCTTCGCTACTATTATTATTATTATCACCATTACTAATATTATTACTATTATCATAAGCTGGTAAAGACATTATTTCACTACTCGGTGATACGCAAGTGATTATAACCGGCATGCTTGCTTCTAATTCTGCCGAATATTCTTTATTAGAGGCTCTAAAGGCTTGAAATGCAATAGAAAACCTTAATCTATGTTTGATTTTCAAGAAACTATCTGAATCAAATAGACAATGATCGCTTGAACTAGGAATTGGTAGACCAAAACTTTTCGTCCAAACCTCCAAACCATTTTCTTCATTTTTTAAAACACTCGCGGAATCGATGTCTTTAAACATTGCTATGATTTTTGTTTCGGTTTTAGAATAAGCACCAATTTGATATGTGACGTATTCTTTTAGCTCACAAGTTATGCGTTTTAATCTAAGTGATTCTTGTAATGGTGTAAATTTCATTGAAATCGGGATTTTATCTCCTAAACTAAAAATTTTTGACTCTATTGACAACTCATAATCCACTTTATCAACCCAAACATTCGATACCACCACACTTTGTATCAAATCAAGCGAAGTTGGTAATAGACATCTTTGTAATTTGACTGTTCGTCTTGTTTGTAAATTTGCTGCAAACGTGTGACGTTCGGCAATAGCCTTCAACGTATAGTTGATATAATTGTTTTTTTCACATACATTGATAGTTTCTGGTAATGTACCTGGTAAAACTAATTCAAAATCCCAATGATAATTATCTGGTTTTAATACATGATAATTTTTTTCGGCTGGCAGGAATATCCAATCATGTTGAAATAATGTTCTTCTTTCACTATGATAATATTGTGCTGGACCTTTATCTTTTTTATTAGAAAAAATAAAACAAATATTTATGATACATTCATTCATATTCATATTTTTATTTATTTAAAAAAAAAAAAAAAATTTACCATCAGTCCAAGAAATTTTAGATTTTCCTTTGAAAGTTAACCGAATTTCTCTAACTTTAATTGCTTCAGTTAAAGCTAATATCAATTGGCCACGTAGAAAACAACCAACAGATTCAGTTTGTGACCCGTGCATTGTCAATACATCTTGTTCCAGTCTTATCTGGAACAAAGGTGAAGGATTCATAGTCAACGCGTGAACCATTTTTTTTTTTTAATGAATTAATAAATTATTTATGATAATTATTTTTTATTTTAATTTTATTTTGTGTATTGAAAGATAAATATATACATTTATTTATATTAATTTTTTTTTTTTACAAAGATCAAAAATTCCCCCACACACACATTTCCGTATATGTCATAATGAACAAAAATTCAAATAAACATTAATATTATTAATATTGTTTTTTTTTCATCATACCACAAAAATAAAAATGAATTTAAATTCTCATTACACAACTTAATTCTAGCCAAATTTCCAAAAACAATTTTTTTTTATTTTATTTTAGGGTGGTGTGATCAAAAAATCAATATGACTAAAATAAATGGCGCCACCATTATTGGATGTAACACGCGAATTTTCTGTGGGGATTTAAACAAATATTTTGTCTACTATAACCCTCTAAGCTCGGTTTTTTTTCTTCAAAAAGGTTGCAATAACCATTATTTCCATTTTATAATGCACGGATATATTAGTTGCTGCAATTATAATCAAATGGTTTTGCACATATTAAGGATTTTGAATAATTTACGCAGATCAACATGTATATACATATTTATTTATTTTCCCATGCTTGTTTTTTTTTAAAATAATATTATATTAATATATATATATATATACATTAATAGAAACTTGTTATTAATTTTATGTTACACGATTTTATTTTAGGACCGCTAGTATTGGTATAAAGGACATATTAAAGTTTCAATTCCTGTGGTATGTAAACTTGAACTAAGATAATTGCCCAAAAATTTTGAAATAAATTAAACATTACACACTCTATATAATAACAGGATATTTAATCATAATATTAACAATAAAAACACATATCATTCATGTGGTTTACCCACTTATTCATGAGGGTTTTTGTTTTTTAAAGGTGTTTTCTCAATAATCTACATAATAATTGTTGATTTTTTTGCGCCTAAATGAGGAGAAGACCTTGAAATATATATTTATAAATATTATTTGTAAAGTTTTTTATTGAAATAAAAAATGATGTTACTCGGAAAAATTATTTTGGTATATGATTCAATTGTTGTGCGTGAATTTGGAGTCTAATTCACGCGCGTGAAATTCAAATTAGTCAAAATTTAATTAATAATAAATTTCAAATTGACGCAAATTTGATTTTCACGTACGGTAATTTTTAATTGAATATTTTACATAAATCATAAAAGATGGAAGATAATAATTTATAATCACAAAACATGATTTTTTGGTGACTCTTTCAACAGATATAAAAAAATAGTATTGAATGAAAGCTCAGAATCTACTCTTTCATTTTATGTTGGAACGTTTCTAAAGTTTATAAATATTTTTTTATATTCCAATTAAAAATAAATTTTTTAAATATAATAAAAAAATTGTATCGACCTGAGTTAACGTGATACTTTGTGCTTTGCAAAAAAAAAAATTTTTTTTAATAATAATAATTGTTTGAATATATTATTTTACGAATCAGAATCCACACAACTTTACATACTAATATTAGTTTTTTTTTATTATGACCTAAAATCTTTTTTTCTACAATTTTAATTTTTAACAGTTATTAACATGTTTGTATGAAGATATTTCATGAAGCCAAGAAAGCCAGTTGACATCGCATTGATAATGACCCTGAATCGGTTGAATGTACAAATCTCATTACTAAGTGTATTCCACAATTATTATTATATTCATTTATGAAATTAATTTGTTAATAGCAATATTTCTAGGTGTATATTGTGAGATTAAAACTAGGAGTTGTTTTTTTACTCCAGGGAATATCAAGATAAGATTCGAATTAAACGAGTGTATCGTGACAAAGAGGTGTGCAAATTTTGATTGGATAATAATGTTACACATACCGTTGTGCCCCGGTTCAATTTTTTGAATAATACCGTAGTAAATCTTTACTATTACTATACTAAAAAGGAAATGTAAAAAAATATTTTTATTGGCCGCCGTTTTGAAAGAACATATGATTTCTTGGCAAGTATGTGAAATTGAAATTTTGGCTTGGATATGAAATTCTGATTGGCTAATTTGAATTTCACGTACGTGAATTGCAAATTCACAGATTTCATTTCATTTTCACGCACAACAACAGCGCACAAAATTTTCTTGTGGAAATGGATGAAAATGTAAAATGATCGTCGGAAATATAATAAAAATGAAAATTCTGCCGGAAAAGTACCTTTTGTTGGTATTTCCTATCTATCACTCGCGCTACAATTAATATTCCGGTTACACATATGACTATATACCAAATCAGCAACGATCATCTTATTAAGAATAAAAATTGAATAATTCGATAGAACAAATAATTCGAATAAAACCGAGTAATTCGGATAAACAAATAAATCAGCGAATAGTTTGAATAAAACGAGTAATTCAAATACAATGAATAAAACGAGTAATTTGAATAAATTCGAATAAAACAAATAATAATTTGTATTAAGAATAGAAACTCTATTCTTATAAGCAAGACCCGAAATATTAATATTAATATAAAATTTTAATTAAACGGTCTTTCACTCGGTCAAAAATGACATCAATCTTTTCTTTTAAATTAATTTATATGAAATAAATAATAAAAATAAAATACCAATAAAAAATGAAAGAAGCTAGGTCACATGTACGAACAATATATGATGTTATGTTGTATTGTTATTCCTAATTTGGTATGTGAATACAGACACTATACTATTGCTATAGTAATAAGTATAGATATTCCGAATCAAATGTTCAATGTTTTCCCAGTCTCAAGAATGATTGTTTTGGGCAGCTGAATATTCTAGTCAATGGTAATTCCATTATGGATACAAACAAACACTAAAATGTAAATTGTATCGATCGAATTAATATTTTTCAAAAACTTTGCTAGCCATAGCCCGACTTTTTATAGTACTAGCAATAAACTTATGTCATATTATATACAAAGTTAGGATATCCTGCAGAATTTACCATGTTTAAATAAATTAAATTATTATATTATATAAACGAAATTCAAATATATATTCCATAATTTGGACCTTTAAATGGTATATCGTGTAACAATTAGAGATTTTTATATATAAGCTATTGTAAAATGAGTCATTTATTTCAGTCAATAATATGTGTAATAAGTTTTGAGATATATTTGATTTTACTTTCGTGGAAACTACAATCCCTTTTCTCAAGATATTATGACAAATTCGTCAAAAATGATAAAAAGTGCATACATATAATTTTAGGGTTTTAATCTATCTAAAAAAAAATTTTATTTTAATTTTTGAAAATAACAGTTCCTCTAATTATACACTTAAGTAGCTACGAACAATTAACAGTAATCATTAAGAAAGATATTTAGATGATGTTCATTTCACCAATTCAAAAAGAGAGAACCATCATGAAATGTTTTTTTGTGAGAGGGATATGGGGCATACTGCAACAAAACCACACAAAGTGAACTTTTGTATTACCAAGAATCTTTACAAAAAGTTTAGATACTTATTTCCTACTTATTTTCTATTTAATTTTTACAAAACATACTTAAAACATAAGCCAAAACATATTTAAATCAAAAAAGATGATTCACTAATTATTTGCAAAATATGTATGAATATACTTATTTTTACAATTAAAACATTCTTATTTTTTACAGAAATAGGAATTTAGATATCCTAATTATACACTTAAAATATACCTCTGAATTTTAATAATTCTTAAAACATACTTATCTTCTTGATTTTGTAATTTACTTTATATATCCTTACAACATACTTGAATTTATACAAATAATAAAGAATTGACCAATCCATATTTCACTTCTGACTGATAAATGACTAAATAACCAATGATTTATTTGATTAATTACACAACAAGGGTTTAGCATCAAACAAGGTGATGAAGACCAGGGAGCAAAATCCTATTATAAAATTCCAGGCATTCTGACAAAATTTGGAATAGGCCATTTTCCAACTTCACATTTTTAATATATTTGGCTCGGTCCTAAAGACCTCCTAAATTTTGGGCAAATTTTAAAAGTATAGAAGTCAATTTCTGTCCTACCTTTTTAAAAAATAGCTCTATTAATTGATAGAATATGACTCGGTCCCGTTTACTTCGTCGAAAATCATTTCGTCGACACCCATTTCGTCGAAAGTTTGTTTCGTCGAAAGTTCATTTCGTCGAAAATTGTTTCATCGACAATCACTCCATCGACAATCATTTCGTCGAAAGTTCATTTCGTCGAAAATTATTTCGTCGACAGTTCATTTCGTCGGCTTATGTATCGTACTAATGATAAAATGAGGTGATGATAGTGATGGCAACAATATCGACATTGAATATTTTAGCATTGATAATAATTATTGTTTTTTAGT